GTGTGTGTGTGTGTGTGTGTGTGTGTGTGTGTGTGTGTGTGTGTGTGTGTGTGTGTGTGTGTGTGTGTGTGTGTGTGTGTGTCCTTGCAACTGACATGGGCTTTTGTAGAGTTTCTATTTTGAGTAGACATTTTTAATTGTGTGCTGTTTTTCTTGTTGGTGTCCTGCTGGATTTTTTGTCCCCCAAACATTTTGTCCCTGAAATTTTTGTATTATTTAGTATTTGAGTTATTTTTATCTCAACATGAGTAGAATTGAGTATTTTAACTATTATAATACTGTGACCTTGATGACCTCAGAATAAAATCATAAAATCCCTTCTAATTAAAGTGTAACTTATATATTCTAATAGCTGTTGTTCACATGTGAAAAAGGCCACCAGGCTTTTTAAATGCAGGATGAAGTACAGACACATCCACGTTATGAGATGCTGCCTGCAGCGCAGTGGAGAATTCTGCAGGACAAGACTGAAAATTGAGATCTCCAGGCTGATTATCATGGGGCATTGAAGAAATGATGACACGCGCCTCTGCTCCTAATGTGATGAATTGATTTCACCAGGTCGAGAGGCTGTGGAGCAGACTTTACGCACGCACCTAACTCAGCGGGAAAATGGGAGACAACAATGTTTCGAGACTACTTCAACATGTTGAAACAGCCATGGGCCTCCTTAACTGTAACGACAGTCATAAAAGCAGAGTTCCTAATGGACAACGCTCATCAGTTATAAGAAGGAACGCAGCGGCAGGTAAAATAGGGGTCAAATGAAGTTGGTCTCGTCCATATGTGTGTGTGTGTGTGTGTGTGTGTGTGTGTGTGTGTGTGTGTGTGTGTGTGTGTGTACAGTTTATTTATACTGTAGGTCACGCAGAGAGATTACACTCGTCGTCAAGTTCATGCTTGCATATGAGATATTGTACCAATTAAGTTTTCTAAATTATCAGAATACAAACGCTTTCCTGACGCACAAGGGCTGTGGCTCCTCTTCTCCCAGTGCAGCCTCCCTGTAACAAGTCAGTATTTACATGACCGGGAAGTGTCCTGAGAATGTGTGTAAATGTCTGGAGGGAAAAAAAGAAGGATGACCGAGTACTGCAGCCACCGTGTAGCTGCTGAAAACACATGGCTGCTGCTGCTGCAGCTGCAGGACGCGCGTCTTGCCCTTGCAGCGTTGAGTTTGTGCGCCAGGCGCCGAGGAGAATAATCTGTTTACAGTGCGCACGTTGATGGTCATTTTTTATGATGTTGTTTTAATCCACGGTGGTGGTGGAGGAGGAGGGGGTAGTGGGAAGGTGGAGGTGGTGTGGGGTGGGGGTGGGTTGTCTAGCAGAGCCCCAGACAAGCTGGCTCCAGCGGCCATCTCTGCAGGCTGCTTTCTTCTATTTGAGCACGAGAGACAGGTGTAAATCTCTCCTGCGATCTTTACTCGCGCACTCACCGCGACACTCACCTGAAGGTAAATAAATGGTTTATGGTGAAGTAAATGAACCATTTCTCTCGTCTCGTGGGCTGTGTGCGCGCAGCAAGGGAACTCCCCCCGGAGGTGTGTGTCTGTGTGTGTGTTGTCATTGTCATGCACTTAAATTGTGCAGGGAAAAGACAACAGGCAATATAAAAGTGACGGTTTGGAGAAAAACAATTTGATGTAACTAAACAAGAAAAGAAAAAGAAAAGAAGACCCGTGCGTAAAATGAAAAATCTATTTGTATTGCTTTTTTATTAGTCCGATAATTTAACTTAATTCCAATTAACTTAAAACGTCTTACAGTTAAAAGAATAATGGGACATTGAAGTTCTTGGAAAACTCTTTATTCTTATGAAGAATATACTGCATATAGCTTTACTATTAATAATACATAATATCACATTAATCCCGCTTCATGTGTAGGTATGTGAGCTGTGGAGGTGTTTGAGCATCCATGTGTGAAAACTCTCGGGTGCAATTATTGCAAACATTTTTTTTCATGCCCAAGGGTGATTTGAGTATAGACCTATT